GGTCGGCTTGGAGCACCAGGCTGGAGTTCTGGGGGGAAAACGGGGGAAATGGGGTTAAATGGGGTAAAATGGGATTAAAATGGGATTTAAATGGGATTTAAATGGGATTTAAATGGGATTTAAGTGGGGTAAAACGGGACTGAAATGGGATTTAAATGGGGTAAAATGGGACAAAAATGGGAATAAAATGGGACTAAAATGGGGTAAAATGGGATTGAAGTGCCATTCCCCATTCAATCAGGGAGCAGTTGGCTTGGAGTTCTGGGGGGAAAAATGGGATTAAATGGGATTAAAATGGGATCAAATGGCATTAAAATGAAAAATAAAATGGGATTAAATGGGATTGAAATGGGATTCCCCATTCGATCAGGGAGCGGTCGGCTTGGAGCAGCAGGCTGGAGTTCTGAGGGGAAAAATGGGATTAAAGTGGGGTAAAATGGGATTGAAATGGGGTAAAATGGGATTTAAATGGGATTGAAATGGATTTGGGGTGATGGGGATGGGGTTGAGGGGGTGGAATGGGGCTGGGAGATGGGTGGAGAATCCCAAAATGGGTCTGGGGGAGACAGTTGGGGTTTGGAGAAGGGAAAGGGGTCAAAAATGGGGCTGGGGAACCCCAAAATGGGACTGGGGGAGGGGGGTCTGGGGGTCCCCAAATGCGGCTGAGGGGGGTCTGGGGGTCCCAAACGGGGCTGGGGAGGGTCCAAGGGGTCCCCAAATTGGACCCGGGGTGTCCAAATGGGTCAGGGGGTCCCAAAATGGGGTCCGAGGTCCCATTAGGAGGCTGAGGGGCCCATAAGGGGTACCAAAGTTGGGGTGGAGGGAGCTCACGGTACCGGGGTGCGCTCATGGTAACGGGACGGGCTCGCGGTAACGGGACCGCGTTCGGGGCACCGGGCGCGCACTCACCGCCTTGTACTCATACTGCAGGCTACGGGCGGTCACGTCCGCCATGGCTGCACCAGGAACGGGGCCCGCAACGGGGCCGGGAACGGGAACGGGACCAGGAACGGCGCCGGGAACCGGAGCGGGCCCTGACGAGGCCGCGCCGCCGCCGCCGCACCGGAAGCTCCCAGCAGAACTTCCGGGTTAGGCGGAAACGTGCCTGAGCCTGCTAGAGAGAAGCCCCGCCTATCGCTCTTTCTGATTGGTTGATACACGTTAGATTCCCGCCCCACGCCCGGGAGCTGCCTGTGATTGGTCGGGCCGCCAGCCCGCCACGTTTTGATTGACGTTTGAGCGCCTGTGGGCGGCAGGGGGCGGGGTCAGAGAGGAGCTCGCCGCTTCCTATTGGCTGAGTATGTGAAAACCACGCCCTCTGGCTCAGACCACGCCCCTTTCCGGTGAGGGCACACGTGGTGCCCACGGGGTGCGGGGGGGCGAGACCCCCAAATTGTCCCCAGGGACCTCCCTGTGCCCCAAGGCGGGTGTTTAGGGGGTCCCTGGGCACTTGGGGGTCTCTGGGCACTTGGGAGTCTCTGGGCATTTGGGGGTCTCTGGGCACTGAGGGGTCCCTGAGCATTGTGGGGTCTCTGGGCACTTTGGGGTCTCTGGGCATTTGGGGGTCTTTGGGCACTTTGAGGTCCCTGGGTATTTGGGGGTCTCTGGGCACTGAGGGGTCCCTGGGCATTGGGGGGTCTCTGGGCACTTGGGAGTCTCTGGGCACTTTGAGGTCCCTGGGTATTTGGGGGTCTCTGGGCACTGAGGGGTCCCTGGGCATTGGGGGGTCTCTGGGCACTTGGGAGTCTCTGGGCACTTTGAGGTCCCTGGGTATTTGGGGGTCTCTGGGCACTGAGGGGTCCCTGGGCATTGGGGGGTCTCTGGGCACTTGGGAGTCTCTGGGCACTTTGAGGTCCCTGGGTATTTGGGGGTCTCTGGGCACTGAGGGGTCCCTGGGCATTGGGGGGTCTCTGGGCACTTGGGAGTCTCTGGGCACTTTGAGGTCCCTGGGTATTTGGGGGTCTCTGGGCACTGAGGGGTCCCTGGGCATCGAGGGGTCTCTGGGCATTTGGGGGTCTCTGGGCCCTGAGGGGTCCCTGAGCATTGTGGGGTCCCTGGGCATCGAGGGGTACCCGGGCATCGAGAGGGTCTCTGGGCATCGAGGGGTCTCTGGGCATTTGGGGGTCTCTGGGCATTTGGGGGTCTCTGGGCATCGAGGGGTCCCTGGGCATCGAGGGGTCTCTGGGCATTTGGGGGTCTCTGGGCATTTGGGGTCCCTGGGCATCGAGGGGTCTCTGGGCATTTGGGGGTCTCTGGGCACTGAGGGTTCCCTGGGTATTTGGGGGGTCCCTGAGCATTGTGAGGTCTCTGGGCGCTGATGGGTCCCTAGGCATCGAGGGGTCCCTGGGCATTTGGGGGGTCTCTGGGTATTTGGGGGTCTCTGGGCACTGAGGGGTCCCTGGGCATCGAGGGGTCTCTGGGCATTTGGGGTCTCTGGGCACTGTGGGGTCTCTGGGCACTGTGGGGTCCCTGGGTATTTGGGGGTCCCTGGGCATCGAGGGGTCTCTGGGCATTTGGGGTCTCTGGGCATTTGGGGGTCCCTGAGTGCCCACCCAGCCTTGTTTCCCCGATCATTTTGGGGTGCCAGGGGACGCGGGCAGCGCCTCCCTCTCCCCAGTGCCACCCCTGCGCTGGCTTTGGGGTCACGGCTCGGTGCCCGCCGCGGTGCCCTCGTTATCTCGGCCCCGTTAATTAGCGGAGCGCGGTGCCAGCGCCTGGAGAGGTGCCCGGCGGCCGTGCCAGCTCGGCCGTGTCCCAGCGGGGGTGGCACCACGTGGCACTCGTCCTGTCCCTGGAGGTGACCTGGCTCTGCTGCCACACCTGGTGCCCACCTGGGGTTTGTCCTTGTCCTTTCTGGGAAGGGATCCTGGCATCGGGATGGCACTGGGATGGCACCAGGGATGGCACCGAGGATGGCACTGGGATGGCACCAGGGATGGCACTGGGATGGCACCAGGGGTGGCACTGGGATGGCACCAGGGATGGGACTGGGATGGCACCAGGGATGGTACTGGGATGGCACCGAGGGTGGCACTGGGATGGCACCAGGGATGGGACTGGGATGGCACCAGGGATGGTACTGGGATGGCACCGAGGGTGGCACTGGGATGGCCCCAGGGATGGCACTGAGGGTGGCACTGGGATGGCATCAGGGATGGCACTGGATGGCACTGGGATGGCACTGGGATGGCACCAGGGATGGCACTGGATGGCACTAGTCAAACCGAGCTGAGCCAAACTGGGATATGCCAAGCCTGGTTAAGCTGAGCCGAACTGAGCCAAAGTGGGGTGGGTAAAACCAGGCTGAGCCGAGCCGAGCCAGGCCAGTAAAGCCAGGCTGGGCTGACCCGGGTTAAACCAGGCTGGGCTGAGCCAAACTGGATTGAGCTGAGCCTGGCTAAGTTGGCCTGAACCGGGCTGAGCCCCACTGGGACACCCCGAACTGGGCTGAGCCAAGAACTGAGCCAAGCTGGTCTGAGCTGAGCCTGGTTGAGCCAAGCCGGGCCAGTGGGGCTGAACCGGGCTGAGCCCAAGCGGGACACCCTGAACTGGGCTGAGCCAGGCCATTGGCGCTGAACTGGGCTGACTGGTTCTGGATCCGAGCCGAGCTGAGCTGGGCTGAACCTGGTTGAGCCAACTGGTCCCAGTAAGACCCGACTGGTTCCGAGCGGTTCCGATCTGACCCGACCCGACCCGACCCGACCCTAGCCCCCCTCCTCTGAGGGGCGCCCGTGACGTCACGGGCGGGGCGGGGCCTCGCGGGGCCG